TGCTGATGGGAGTGATGGAGGCGGCGGCGGTTTTCGATGAAGGCCGACTGTGCGCAAATCGGCGTGTGGGAACGCGGCGAAGTGGAGTTCAAGCTTAGAAATGTTCGGGAGGGACGGCGTATTGCCTATGAGCTCGGCGGTTACCGAGGGGTAGGGTGATTTCCTGGAGGTGTGGTATGGTATGAGTGTCTCACAGGTCCGTGATGAATTATTGACGAAGATTAAAGATGGTAGAGTGTTTGGTGAGAAGAGTGGTATTGCTAAGGTGACCAGAGCCTCTGGGGAGGTCAGTCTAGCAGACACGGAGAACACTATCAAACAAAGGCTCGAGGTAAGCCTATGGAGAACCATGCCACTTTAAAAGACCTCATCAGATACGCTTTGGCGACGGTGGGACGAAGTCCATGCGGTGTTTGCCGATTGAGGGGACGAACGGTCTGCGGGCATCCTATGGGAACTTCCTGTTACAAGCCAAGTGTAGTGGCCTTTTCACGGAGCTACTGTTTGAGGATGAGATTAGTATGATGGCATTCGCTGTGGAGTGGGCAGGATACAGACCGATGGAGGTAGGGGGTCGGGCGGACGCTTAGTTGTACTGTGGTGGTTGGGGTCAGTGTTGGAGGAATATATGTTTGTTTACCTCAGCTGAGCTTGGGAGTTTATATACGGCTGTGTGTAGAAATGATTGAGAATCTCGCGAAATTTTGGTATTGTCAAGAAGATATGCAGTGTGGGAAAGTATGCACATGTGTTGGTGACAATATGGAAATTCTGAGGGAATTTTGGGGAGTCCTTGTTGGTCTTCTGTACACTTCTACCGGAATTGGTATGTGAACTCAGCTGAGGAGAGCGAATAAATATTCCCCCCAACACATATGTTATCGATCCCCACTGGTTTTGTGGTACTGTCAGGAAGAGCTGCAGATTGGGTTCCGAGACAGTGCCACAGAAGTGCAAATCCAACCGAGAGGCGTTAATGTGGCTACTGCCTTTCCCCTGGGGATGGCCTACGCTGAACGATGGGCATCCTACTTGGACAGAACAGATCGCAGACTCAAGTCGAGACGCATCTCGGTGAGTTAGATGGCTTAG